ATGAATAGTTAGTTGGTCTTTGCTTTAGGTTCTCTCTTTTGGTTTTTTATTAGAGGGACAGAATGGTTCCAGGGAGGCTAGCTGGGAGTTCTACAGCAGAGGAAAGGGTTGTAGTCATAAGGCTAGAGGATGAGGACCAAGGAGGCAGGTTCTGACCAGCTAAGCAGGATAGTTGTTGCCCTGGGGAGTGGGGCTAATGGGGCTGTTCCTAAAGCAGGGAGCTGGTAACTGAATGGATGGGATCTGACATAACTTTCCAAGCTTTTGATTTCTGGAGCTCCCTGGCTGCACAAAGAGGCCTAGGCTCAAAGCTGGATGATGGGAAGCAAGTGTGTGGGTTTTTAGCAGTTTAGCGGGGTAGATGTGGATGAACTCTGGAACAGCACGATCTAACTTGTAGTGACCGAATAGGTCTATGAATTATCAAAAATCAAAAGATCATGCCTACTAAACATCATTATCTTCTGTATAGTGATAAAGAAAATATTGTTGGCTTACATGACATAATAAAGCTATCACAGTCAAAGCTTTCTTCAAGACATGCAGAAACAGTGGGATTTTTGACATTATATAGATGTCAGGAGTTAGCTTCCTTAGGTACATCCATAAAGATGGATGCCATTCTTGCCAGCTATAGAAATACTCTGAGAATGAAAATGGAGAAAATGATTACAGTAAACATATTTGGTGTTTCTCTAACTTTTGTGAGTGATCTTTGAAGAGGCCAAATGGAGTCTACAAAAGGACAGACTGACCTGAGTTGTTTGAGGTCATGGTGAGGCTGTGGTAGGAGCTCAAGTAGAATATAGATACTCATTGACTTGAGACTTCTTGAGAATATTTACTTTAAGATACCAGAAACTCTGAATAATTTTAAACTCAACTTCATTTCACAAGCTTGAATTATCTTTGTGTTTTAAAGTAGTTTTCCCTGAAAAAGAGACATTTATCATGTGACTATATCATTATGCTTCAAAGTATCTAAAAATGAGTGTTTTAGACATGGATAGCTGCTGCAGTGAATTTATAGATGCAAAGAACGTGATTGATAAATAAACCATACATACAAAATTAGTAGACTTTCATTTGGGAAATGGAAACCAGTTCTTAGAGATCTAAACTATTTACAGCCTTTAAGCAAATAAAACCTCACGTTTTCATGATCAAATGATTATTTTGAAGGCAGTGATGCCAGCATATAAAATTGACACCCCAAATGTGTTGTAGTTGGGTTTGCAAAATGCGAATGTTACATTTGGCTCTATTTAAAAATTAGACGAAGTGAATATGAAAACTGTAGACTGTTCACAGAAGTATTTAAAAAGATAACAGGAAAAAATTAACCTACTATGTTATGAAACAGTTCATTAAATTTTTTAAATTACATAATAGCTTTTTATATGTACACCACTTTTATGAATGTACATTTTTCTTTGAAAAAGTTTTTCACTAATGTATTTCAGGGATACAAAGTTAGCATAGCCAATAAAATGTAAATATCTTATTGTGGGGACATTTGCCCAGCATGCACAAAGCCCTAGGTTCATGGGTGCACCTGCACACCTATGATATCCTATAGTATATACATTCTGCTTTTACAAGTAAATTCCTATACTAAAGGACAGAAATTTAAAATATTTTTCACGCAGATTATCTTTTACTTAGTCCTATTATTAATTACCATTGCTTACAATATATTGTTTAGTTCACATTTCTAAAATAGGGAAGTATAGATGCTAACAATACTTTTAGGAAAGCATTTTCCTATTTTTATGTTAAAATGACATCAGATATTCATAAATATTTCTTCTGTGATACTTACTCATTTAAGAGAAGGAGTTCTGATTGTTTCTGCCCTGTGATGGCTCTGAAAATATGCTGGCCTTCCTTTACCAAGGACGAGGTGCCATCAGTTCTGTGTACTTGAACTGTGTAAGAAAAGTTGGAGGTTAAAACACATTTAAAAATTTTCAAGTGTGCCTCTTATTATTTCTTGGAAATCGCATTTAATGCAATTAGATGGTAAATCAACAAGGAAAAGCAACAATTTTGTACTCGCCACATAGCTGTTTTGCTTCCAAAACAGCTTTATATCAAAAACAAGCACTGTGCTTTACTCTTCCAAGCATGCAACCTGCCTCAGTTTACTTAAAGAATGCTGCTTCATTAGGAAGTGTATAGCATTCTTCTACTCATTTATATTCTATTTTTCTCTTTTCTTGATTTATCTTCTTTGTTCCTTGAAAATTTAATGGGTAGAATAGAAAAATTATTAAGTAGTGCATTTTATTATAGTTTCTCTGAAACTTAACAATTTTGTCACTATTTTGTTCTCTGGCCTTCATAACTAAAAATTTGAGTCTTGAAGTGCCAAAGTTTTTGACACCCTTAGCTTTTCAGTAGTTTTTTTGTTTAGTAAATTACTTTTTGAACCGAAAGGTAAGATTTTTCCAGGTTTAGTGGCATAGATCTGTAATCCTAGCTTCTTGGGAGGTTGAATCAGGGGGATCATGTATGCAAGGCTAACCTGGGCTACAAAGTGAGTTCAAGACCAGTCTAGGCAACTTAGTGATACAACACTTGCCTGACTTGCACAAAGCCTTCAGTTCAATCCCCAATAGTGTATTAAAAAAGGGTTAGATTTTGAATTTCTTTATCTGTCATATGTTTTGAAATAAAAGTTCTTGTAACAAATTCATCTTTCAGCTATATTTCCTTCCTGTATCACATAGGAACTTTGCTACAACTTTGGTTACAAAAACAAATTTAGGATAGTTGTCTCTAAAAGCCATTCCAAAGGTTCTCTATTATCAGGTAAGTCAGTCTTATAGGACACATACACTAACTCCTGAATACTCAACCGCTTTAACACCTGACAACAATGTTTCCAGACATTATACCAATATGTCTTATAAAATCTCCTTTAATCCTTAGCAGTGATCTTGAATAACTTTATGCAGTATGATCTCCATTTTCCAAATAGTAAGGCCTTGTAAGAGGAGATTTTCTCAGTAAAAATCAAAAATTAAATCTAGGAACTCTCAGTCTCCTACATAGCACAGGATAAAGAGAAGCCTATAAGCTGTATTTTAGCTTTCTTAAATATTGAAGTGTCATTTATAAATCAGTGGTTCTTATTTAAATCTGACAGTTATTTTAAATGATATGGTCCTATTACTAATTCTCCTATCTACTATTTACTTATGTTTAGAAATGAGAAAGATCATTATTCTTTTGCTTTTTCTGTTGGTTAGGCATCTCCAAGAGTTACTATTGATGACTATTTAGTAGCAAAATTAGCAGATACTTTGAATCATGAAGATCCAACGCCTGAAATCTTTGATGACATTCAGAGAAAGGTATTGCATGTTTTATGTTTCTTGAAAAACTATTTCTATTTTTCATGTGATTTTTAAAAACTTTATTGAAACATTTTTACAAAGTAGAAATGGTTAGACAAAAAGATGTTAGAGCAGTAATACCTTAGTTCTAGAACTGTAGACTTTTAAAAAAATTTCTTTAAGTGACCAATAAGAAAAATCCTTATTTTGGGTTGCTTTGTTTGGATCTAACTTAAGAACTAGATAGTCTCTTGTAGAATTTGATCGATTGATGAAATATTGAAAAAGCATGTCTCAAGCCTTTGTATATGCTTGTTTCTTAGAAAGCATGCTTCCCAGAGCATGATTAATGGCATGATGTCATGTGCCTTATATTGCACTAAGACCATTTAGTTACAAGAGGGGCTAGAAGTTTCCATTGTTTACGACATAGTCTCATTGCTGACAACTTATAACTATGATACGTCATAGAAAAATCTTAGTGAAATTTTGGTGATACCTTATATAGTGAAAAATCATTAATATGTTGTTATTATATAATAGTAAATTGTTAATTTTTTTAACAGGTATATGAATTGATGCTCCGGGATGAAAGATTTTATCCTTCCTTCAGGCAGAATGCACTCTATGTGAGAATGCTAGCAGAGCTTGACATGTTAAAAGATCCTAGCTTCAGAGGATCAGATGATGGGGATGGAGGTAAGGTGGAACATGTATCTTTGGGGGCCCATATCCCAGGGTGTACTCTGATCACCAAAACAATAACTGTTTAGATATGAAAAAGAAAAACTTTTTTAAAAATACAAATATAAATTGTCATGTATTTTAAATATTTAAATGATTGGTAGAGATTTAGTTATATTAAATTAAAATGCAAAAATTTAGTAATGGATTGGAATTTAACTGTAGAATTTTATTTTGTTTTTTTTAGATAATGACTCTTTTTTTCTACTGTTTTTATTGAGCTTTTCAAATTTCATACATTTCCCACTCAAATCCAGACCCCCTCCCCCATCCATGCCTCCCCCCTTTCCCCCACAGAACCCTGTACACTCTGCCATACATGCTGAGTCCTATTCATTCAGGTGTTTGCCCCCAAATGTCCTTCAGTGTAAATATGTCGACTGGAATCTAGTCAGCCCATCCACTGGTCGTATGTAAGTCATACCCTCTCTCACCCAGCAACAATCAGTGTCAAATAGTTCTCAGTCTAGTGCTGGCCTGCCGCTCTGTTTGGGCTCTTGTTTAATTGAGCGGACATGGGTCCCATGCTCAACGCCACTGCAGCCACAGGCTCACATGAGCAAGCCTCCGGTGGTCTGGAAGCCTGTACCTTCCTGTATTCATGAACCAGGCCTGGTTCTTGCAATCTTTCTGCCTCCTCTTCCGCAATGGTCCCTGAGCCGTGGGTTGGTGAGGTTCCATATAGGAGTCTCATCCTATACTCTACAGTCTCTTATTCTCTAAAACTTGGACATTTGCAGCCTTCTATGTGCATTTCACGCCGATGTACAAGGAAGCCTTACTGGTGGAAGTTGAGGGGTGCATTAGCCCTCTCTCTACCCCTTTCTGCGATGTTCCGTGAGCCTTAGTTGTAGAGATTTGACTGCAGATGTGTCACCTAGTACTGGGCCTCACTCAGACGTATGTTCTTTGAGCCTGACCAGATGTGCAACTCTGCGGTAGCCTCCGTCTGTTGCACAAAGAAGCTTCTTTGATGAGTGGTAGCTCGAGTTTGAATCCCACCAGCAGTGAATGAGCATTCCTCTTTCTCCACATCCTCTCCAGCATTTGGAGTCTTTTGTTCTGTTGATCTTTGCCAATCTGACTGGGGTAAGATGGAATCCTAAAGTGGTTTTTACCTGCATTTCTCTAATTACTAAGGATGTTAAGCAATTTTTAAGGGGCTTGTTAGCCATTTTTATTTCTTCATTTGAGAACTCTCTGTTTAGGTCTATTGCCCATTTTTTTATTGGGTTATTTTCTTATTTCTTTCTTTTTGAGTTCTTGGTTTATTCTGGATATTAATCCTCTGTTGGATGTGTAACTAATGAATATTTTCTCCCACTCAGTGGGTTTCCTCTGCCCTTCCTTGGATGTTTCTTTTGCTGTACAGAAACTTTGTAACTTAATTAGGTCCCACTTATTGATTGTTGACCTTAGCACCTGAGCAGCTGGTGTCTGATTTAGAAAGTCCTTTCCTATGCCTATGTCTTGTAAGGTGATGCCTATATTTTCTTCTAGCAGGTTCTGAGTTTCAGGTTTTATATTGAGGTCTTTGTTTCATTTGGTTGTGCAGGGTGAAAGAAAAGGATCAAGTTTCATTCTTCTATAGGTGGAGATCCAGTTTTGCCAGCACCATTTGTTGAAGATTTTGTCTTTCCTCCTTTGTTCTTAGCACCTTTGTCAAATATGAGGTGGCTGAAATTATATGAACTCATGTTTGGGTCTTCTATTGTAGAACTTTAATTTTTAAAGAACAACGTTTTCTTGATGTACATCACTCAGAAAATTTAGTATATTTCCACAATCTTTTTTCTTTTTTTTTTCTTTTTACCTACCATTTCACCCTCCTCATTTTTCTCTTTATTGAATTTTTGTGTTTTATACAAAACGTCTTAATCATCTTCACATCCTATCTGCCATCTGGACCCCCCCACACACAGCCCACCCCACTAGATGTCATACATTCTGCTATATATGTTAAGGCCTGTTAAGTCAAGTTAGTGCCCAGATGTCCTTCAGTGCAGTTCATCCAGTGGGTCTAGTCAACCTATCTAGAGTCTCCTTTAAAGATCAGCTCTCCCTTACCCAGCAGTGATCAGCTGCCAATAGTTTTTCAGCTAAGGTTGGGGCCTGAAGCCCATTTCCACAGTTCTATACTGTGTTTTTGTTTCCCTGAGTATGCATGGGTCTTGTGCATGCTGTCACCATTGCTGTAGGTTCATACGAGCAAGATCCCAGGAGCCTGTAAGACTTTTCCATGTTGTCATGCACCTCCTCCCATGGTTCTTAGTCTTTCTGCCCCCTCTTCTGCAGTGGTCTCTGAACCCTGGGTAACCCTTTTAGCAAAGTGGCAAGTTACAAAATCAATCTACAAAAATCAGTAAGTAGTCTTTTTATATACTAGTAACAAGCAATTGAGAAAGTACTTGGAAATTCTCCCATTCACAGTAGCTGAAAAAAAAAAAAAAAAATCTTGTTATAAACTCGACCAAAGACATTAAAGATCTCTACAATGAAAAATTTAAATCTTTCAAGAAAGAGATTGAGAAAGGCACCAGGAGAGATAGAAAGAATGCCTATGCTCATGGATTGGGGAATTAATATTGTGAAAATGACCTTCTTATCCAAAGAAATCTATATATTCAGTGTAATCACAGTAGAAAAATACCCATGACATTCTTCACAGAATTAGAAAAAAAAATCCTAAAATTCATATGGCATCACTAAAGACCCTGGATAGCCAAAAACATCCCTGAGCACAAAGAGCAATGCTGGTGTGATTACCTACCAGATCTCAAACTATACTACAGAGTTACAGTCATAAAAACAGCATGGTACTGGCAAACAGCATGGTACCAGCACAAAATCTTTTGATAATTTCTTTTTTGCTGATAAATTATTCTTGAAATGCTATTCATGTTTAAGAGATACTTTTATTGAGAATAGTAAATGGGATAAGAAGGAATGATTCTAGAGTATACCACATGCTATAAAGCAAAACATTGCAAGTGTTTTTCTGTAGTTTTAATTGTATTCTTTTTAAAGGTCACACCCTATGGAAAACTTTTCACCTAGAAGCCAGTGAATCATTTATTCCACCTTTTAATTTTTCAAATGAAGATTAAGATGCTGATCAACATATTTTAGTGTGAAATGTAGACTTAAGAGTTACAGACTATTTAGATAATGCTTTCATTATACTTCCTGCCTGCATGGTAGAGGGTACTTGCTTTATGCCTCAATTTTGTCAGTTTTAAATCTGGAATAATATTCTCATTATAGTACCTTAACCCAGTTATCACATTTAAATTCAATTATGTGTATGGACTAAAGCACAAACAAATTTGTATTGGTAGAAAAGAATGTATTAATAAAATTGAGGGATAGGCCTTCAGCATTTGTTTGCTTATTTTAAATATCATCTTCCTGTAAACCAAGGGTAATTCTGAGTGAAATACCTTGCTGTTTATGACCAGAGGTTTGGAGAACCAAGAAATATTCTTTAGTATTATTAGTTATTCAAAGTAGAAGGCAATACTAGCTTCCCCTTGTAGAAGTAATGCAGTCCTTTTAAAGGCTCTTAACAAATCAAGCACATAAATTTCTCAAGAGCTAGAAAAGGTACATTAACTTTAAATTGTATGTGAATATTGCTTTACCATAGATTTGTGTGTGTGTGTGTGTGTGTGTGTGTGTGTGTGTGTGCGTATGTGTGTTTTATCAATGAGACACCTTAAATGAAAAGTTAATTTGCTTAGATATACATTAAAACCCTGAAGGAAAAGATTATTGCTTGGCATTAAATTTAATAACTTTTAAAATGTATATTTTTGTGCATTTCATTCAAAACATCTTACTCATTTTCATGCCTCCTCCCCCAACTGCACCCCTGTATAGCACCTCCCCCCCACTGGATTTCATGCATTCTGCAGTTTATGTTAATACCTATTAAGTCAAGTTAGTATACTCAGACGTCCCTCGGTTCAAGTTCATCCACTGAGGTCTAATAAGCCTATCTAGAGTCTCTTCCTTAAAGAAGATAAACTCTCCCTTGCCTAGTAATCAGCTGTCAATAGTTCTTCAGCTAAGGTTGGGGCCTGCTGCCCATTTCCACAATTCTGTGCTAGGTTTTTGTATGCTTGAGTTTGCGTGGGTCTTGTGCATGCTGACACCATTGCTGTAGGTTAAACTGCATTTCCTTATGGCCACACATATCCCCTGGCTCTTAGAAAAATCTTTCCTCCCTCTCTTGGGCAGTGAGCCCTGAGCCCTGGGTGGTTGGAATTTAATATACTAGTCCTGTCCAGGAACCTACAGTCTGCAGACTCTTATTCTCTCCATATTGGCCATCAGTGGTCTTCTCTGTATATCGCCCTCTGTTACATGAGGGAGCTTTGTTGATAAGAGTTGAGAGATACATTAGTATTTTCTACCCCTTATTCCACTATTTTCTGTGAACCTTAGGTGCAGAGGTTCCATTGTAGATGTGTCACTTATGTTTGGACATCTCAGACACTTATTCTCCGTGTGTGATCAGTTGTGGAACTCTGTAAGTCTCCGACTATTGCAAAGGAAGCTTCTTTGATGAGTGGTGACTGGCATACTTCTCTAAATTTATTTTTCTTACTTTTCTTTTTCTCTACATTCATTTTACTTCTTTTTCTTTGATGAGTGGTGACTGGCATACTTCTCTAAATTTATTTTTCTTACT